TAACCTGTGGGGTGTTGACCCGGGTCGTGTGAAAGTTTGTTTGTGAAAGGCCCCGTGGGTGTTGACCGGGACGAGCCGGATTGATCGGAGGGGCGACAGTGGGGTGTTGACCGGGTCGTGTGAAAGTTTGTTTGTGAAAGGTCCTTGGGGTGTTGACCCAGACAGAGCCCGGATTGATCGGAGGGCGACATGTGGGGTGTTGACCGGGTCGTGTGAAAGTTTGTTTTTGAAAGGTCCCTGGGGTGTTGACCGGGACGAGCCGGATTGATCGGAGGGCGACCACGTGGGGTGTTGACCGGGTCGTGTGAAAATTTGTTTTGAAAGGTCCTGGGTGTTGACCGGGACGGAGCCCGGATTGATCGGAGGGCGACCAGTGGGGTGTTGACCCGGGTCGTGTGAAAGTTGGATGGATGCGCATGTGAAATGTGTTTGGGTTGAATTGGATGAACGTACGTGTGTATGGCGCTCGAATGATTTTGATGTGTTCATTGACTATTATTGCATTATTATGATTTGACTAATGTGCAGTGTGGGCATGTGGTTGGATGGCGAGGTAAGTCCATTTATGTGAATTATATATATGTAATCGGGTAGATTGCATGTACGACTTGTCTGGGTACGCATTGGCCTATGTGGGGTATAGGGGGTTACTTATTGAGACTCGTTCTCACGGTTATTATATAACCATTTTCGGATCTATGACCGTGATTGATTGGAGACGACACCGGGGGTATCTCGGGGATGAAGGACGGGTCAAGTTACCCCATATTTTATGTGCCCCTCTTTTGTATAGCGAAGTAGGATACCCCACCACTATTCCCTTTTGATGTTGTGTATTTGGAATTATTGTTTTGTGCTATCCCTTTGTCATATTTTATTGTCTGGGTTGTTTTAAATTCGCTTCCGCTTGCCTTTATCGTTGGGTGTTTCGTTTGGGTCGGCGACGCGTCCTGGGACGTCGCGTTCAATACGACCGTCGAGGGATGACCGCGCGCTCGTAGGGTGCGGGGCGTGACATTAAGCCTCTTTTTTTTTTTTTGGACCTGGGTTAAGCCTGTTTAAATTGGAGAAAAGTTGCTATTTCCCTTTCCTTTTTGACTCTTGCTAGTGTCTTTTGTTGTCATGTTCGAAAGTAAGGTGATCGCTTCTTGTATCAGTCCGATTCCACCCAGAAATTGAGAACTGGATCAGAAGGATCAATTCCCAATTTCTGGAACTGGGGACTGGACTGATACAACCTCTCGCATATATCCGTGTTTAAACATTGAGAACCCAAACTACTCCTTTCTAACAAGAATTTTATGACTTTGACCACATCACGAACCCATTATGATACTAATTAGTTGGTGTGTACTCGTTTGAGAGTTTAAAGATTATTCATAGTGGTTAATTTTATGAGCGACTTACCGAACATAGAGGACAAAGATAGACAACAAAGTAGCTTCGAGCAGGACATGTGAGAAGGGAAGGGAAAGAAATTTGCGTGAGAAATAAAAAAACAAAAAATCATCAGTTTGATCCGGGCGGTTCGGTCGATCCAATTCTCCCTTAGAACTAGGGACCGGACCAAAAATAATAGGTTCCAATTTTATGAAACCAGGAACTGGACTGACGCCCTTGGGAATCACCTAGAATCGATCGATCCAAGTGGCTCCCGGTTTAGTCAATCTGTGTTGCTCACCCCTATTAGAAAGTGTCAAGGAAAAGGTTTTGCTTTCCAAAGCTAATGGGATTAATTCTTTGGTTATTGTTGTTACTTTGTATGTTCTTTCTTGCTAAAAAATTTGTTGAAATATCATGTTGAAACTAATAATGTTTCGTAGGAGTGAGGTGCACAAAATGATTTTCCAGCTTTAGGAAAAGATCAGGTCCATATAAATTACCTACCTCATCATAAATAAAAATATTTAAGAAGATACGGTCCGATCCGATCGCATCAATCACAAAAAGAAAAAAATTAAGGACTAGATTGCACATTTGGCAATGATTCGGAGACTTGTGATGACTTTTTCCTTATTTGATTAAAAGAAGGGTTTACATTAAATATTTATGAATAGTTCAAAGACTATATTAAGAGTCCAACATGACATTGCATATCGAATTGAAATTTAGGGGTTATCATGCCATTTTTCTTAATCAATAACAACGCTTTTCTCTTGCTAGGAAAAAAAGAGAAAAGACACATCGTTTGACTTTGGTGCGCATCTCCGAAAAACAAAGAAAGAATTATGGAATTCAAGATGTCAAGCATAATTCATGTGTTTCCGTTGGTTTAGGATCAGACACTGCCACATGTTGAACAGAAACGACATTTTAGATCGGAGTCATTTGCCACTTTTACCTTAAAGAAAAGAACTTTAACCAAATCTAACTTAATTACAGTATAGCAAAGTTCCATGCGTGGTAGAAAGAATTTGACTTGAACCAATACATAATTCACTAGTTTCTGCAATCAATAGCCAAGAATGACAAAATTTAGTAGGCCACTGGACTATGGAACCAGCGAAGTGTACTTTCAAGCGCACTACGAAACCCATCAGTGAAGCTAAAACATTAGAAGAAGAGTTGATTAGCTGAGTATTTGCCAGCATGTCAGCTTGATTTTAAAACATAGGAAATAGGCAAAGGGTAGAGTCCATTTCGGTTTACAACATCAGGTTTGTCTATTCCCATCCCAAAGGCAATGGTAGCACATCCAATCTGGACCTCTCCAGTATGCCATTTCTTTTGAACAGCTACTCTTTGATGGGCTGCTAATCTAGCATGATAGTACACCATCTTTATACGGCACTTCTCGTTCAAGTATTTTGCAACATCAACACATTCACTCTTCGAAAGGCAATATTCTATGCCATGAAAATTAGCAAAACGATTCTTTAGCAGCTCCCCAAGCTGCTTCAGTGGTTCCTTGGTCTTAGCTATCACCTCATATTTTAGATTTGGTCTGTCAAAGCTTGTCTCAAGAACAAGAGCATGGGGAACCCCAAGAGCTTTTAGGATATCCTACAATGGATGTATAATTCAGTCAGAACAAACAGATTATTTCAACATAATCAGGAGGTTAATGTGTAAGTTTAGTACCTCACGAACTGAGTGGCAGTTGCAGTTAAGGCCATCACTGGGACATATGGAAAGTTCTGCTCGAGACATCACAGTCCCCTATAATCTGGACGAAAATCAGGTCCCCATAGACAACAATAATGACAACCACAAAAGTGACAATCAATGAGCTTTACTCGTTAATCAGTCAAATTTACTAGAAAAGCTCAAACTAGCAGTATGTTCCTTTCATGAGATCACACTGGCAGAGCAAATCCAGTTAAGACCTTGTAAGAAACACAATCAATGATCACATGGGTGAACCTTTGCCTTTCTCAAGTTGTTAACATTAAGTATAAGCGTTAATAGAATAAATAGGGACACAAGAACCAGCTTAAGAGACTATCCTGCCAAACATAGACAGGAGATTGGATCCTTATCCAAGCTTATGCCGGTTCCAATTACTTTAGGAAGTAATTTCCATTGGAGCTTATTTAAGTTGTGTGCTCTTTACTCAATATAATGAACGATGTGCCGCTAAGGCTACATTTGTTTCATGGAAAATATTTTCCAGGGAAACACTTTCCTCATTTTCTCACGTTTAGGGCGTGGAAAACTGCATTCTGTTATATTAGAACTTCAGAGGGGTCTAAGCTTCAGAAGGTCTAGTGGAACACTGACAATTTAGTTAGGCTAGAACACAGAAAGTGCAAAAGAGTTCAAAAATGAGTTTAAATTAGCATATATAAAAGTAAACTTGCTTATATTTATCAGGAACAAGGACAATAGTTTTGCAGTGGCAACATCACAAATAATTATTCTTTTTGAAGTAACTCTAGCATGATCTTTCTTCATGTACAAGGCATGCCAAAGATTACAAATACCTCACGCAATGTGCCTCATCAACAACAAAACCAGCTAGTTGTGCCTGTAATATGATGGTCGAATACAAAACCTTCTAGAAAAAGTTATGGTGCATCAGAAACAATCCATTTCAATATCAAGAAATGATGGGTTTCCCACAATCCTTTCAGGAGTTATATACAATAGCTTGCACGATGGTTTATCTTTTCTGAAAAGGCAGGTAAAGCAGAAGTGGAGACTAATAATTTGACAGTCATAATACTCAACAGAAAAGTTTTAGAAGTCCAAATGGAGCTAAACCTTGCCTTAGTTCTAGGTAGACAGCTGCTGCTTGGGCAACAGTTTGTAGGGAGTTCAAGAAAGTAGACGGTATTCCGTACTTGAGGTTTCAAGTAATTATTTGATCTTATTGAGAGATAGCAAGGGAGATATACCAACTGTGACACCTGTTTTAAGAGTTGCTGGCAGCTGAAACGAAGGGTAAAAACATCACAAGAGCACATGAAGAGAGGAAGGGACAAGGGAATCATAAGTTCTTTCACCATCAGCTGATCAGAAAGGACCAGTTGTCACTACTTGTCTTATAATTACTTTCAGCTAGAAACATATATCAAATACTTCAAGACTGAACAGAAAACACTTCTAAAAAATTCAAGTTAATAAATGCAGATTAATATCTTCCTCCTTAATTTAGTAAATCAAATATTTTGAATGCTACCAAGATCCAATGTATATTAAAGGACATTGATTTCAAACCAGTTATGGGAAAAAGAAGTCATAGATCATCACCCCTTGTGAGATAATGGCATAGCGAAAAACTGCGAGGAAATATAGATATCTAGAACCCATATTTGGTTGAAGTACTTTGAAAACTTATTCCTCTTTGACCTAGTAACCCATTTGAATTGGACCTAAATTATGATTGACAATAACACTTACATGCATAAACAAGATGAATTTTCCAGTAAGTGATTAGAAGGTCCTAGAAGCATAGTACAAACTTTAAATTCTAGAAATTACAGAACAGATACAGATGTGCGAAGCAGAACGAGAATGTACCGTATTTCCTTCTTTCTAATTTTGTCTGATCCAATACATTGGAAACCATGGTTATGTACCTGTTTCACTTCCTATTGCTTAATTTTCATTTGATAAACATTTCCTTCCTTAAGTTCACAACCTTCTTAATAGTGCTAAACAAAGCAGATTATTAGATCATGTTAAAGCTTAAATTTTGACATACAGGTCCACCCTTTGACATTTAGTTGGTGGAACCATTGAGCAAAGTGCACAGGGCTTGTGCTCTAAACATTGTCTCCACACATACTTCTACGTACAATCATTACACAAATGAAATAATGTTAGCATTCACTAACCTAGTAACATAAACTTTTACCACCTCTAGTGGGCATGAGATGAAGCAATCTTGCTTGGCTACAGAAGCTTTACAACCCTGATGCTGCATTGGTTGAAACGCCTTGTTTCCGAATATCACAACATTTGCCAATTCTATGTCATCCAAGCCTTGCAATTCCTCATAACTCACAGTTCCTAGTTTGCACGTCAAAATCTGAGAGGAATGTCTTTATTTGAAACTGATGATATCGAACCTTGAGTGACAGCGTTCTTACAGTCCTTCAACACAAATATGCCTCTTCAGCACCATAAATAGTTTCTGACATGGAGTGATGCAAAATGAAAATTGTGCACAAAGAAATCCCAAGCCTTCATATCACGAAACACTCCTATCGAAGACGCTGGATGCTAAGTTCCACACTTGGATGATGTACTATACTCTCAAAATATTTGAGAAAATATAGGTATTGTTACATCATCCAAAACAAAACTCAACTGTTTTTATTGACCAAACAAATCAAATATAAGTCATTTTAGATCTTACAGACTGTGGAAGTAACTGGCGAGTTAGGAGTGTCTATTATACATTTGGTCATATGAGAGCCCTCATAATCAGTTTACTAAATGCTTTTGTACAGGTACCCTGCGTAAGGTCTTTTGCTGTGAGCAGAGTTACAAACAAACTGGAAATGATCAAGGAAAGACATAATTTTAAGAGCAAAGAACAGCGACACACCAATTTAAGGGGTTGGGCAGTTTCGTCTACGTCAACGGGAGGAGTTATTTCAGAATGACCAAGAGTGAATTACAACAAGAAAGAAATCAATTTCTCACTAACCAAAACCCTAATTGCAAGAGTCAATCAAAAACGAACGAGACGAGTGGAAAGCGTTTCCCAAGAGTTTTCTGAGGACACTCTAATCTCTCTCGATCAAAAACCAAGATAATCTATTCTCAATTCTTCTCATTTTCCATGTTGGCCCCAATATACCTCAGCAACAAGAATATATAAAAACATGGGTTGCATATTCATTGTTAAAAGAATAAAAGGACGTGCCAAGATCTGCCAACTTTTTGTCAACCTCCTAAACAACTGGACCATTGTGGCCAGACTCCTGGAATTTGCCCGGTAACTATTGTGGCTTCTTCAGGTGTCCACAGTTGCTTCACCGAACGGCCAACCCTATACAATAGTGAGACATTCTTCAAGCCGCGTATTTGGTCCATGCAATTACACGGGCCAATCCCAAGCCAAATCTAGGTCCATGAATCAAAAACTCAAGCCACAAACTTAACAACTATCAACCAAATTAGTTTTGGGCATGGGAAAAAACATACCAAGCCACCCTGTTTTTCTTTCTTTTTCTTAATCCCTTCAAACTGGTGGGGGCAGAAAGGAGTGAGACAACTTCACAGTTTTCAGAAGCATACCATGGATTCTAAAGAATGTCTGGCCAGAAGTTGAGTGGATGAATTGCCCGGAGTACTGCTTTGATCAGGAATATAGCATATCGATTTCCTGCCCATTTTACTGCCAAATATATCATCTTCATCCTCACCGCCAGTGGAGGAATCTACCTCAAGAAAAGTTTGATTTTTCTCAGGTTGTGGAGAATCTTCTATAATATTAACATTGTGCACAACACTGCATTCGCCCTCATTAGGGATATCTTGGCCAAACATGTCAGTCAAAACTCCACAAGCTTCTAATTCCGCAGCTTGCAAATCATCCCAATCCCCAGTATCTTGCATAGTTTCGGCAAGTTCTGCTAGAAAATCATCGCCACAGTGCTCCACGGTGATAAACTCTCGACCTTTGTCACTTTAAGAAAAACCAAACGAAGAAAGAGATGATTTTGCAAGTCAATAAGACTACTCCGCCAAACCCACAAAGAAATGACAATGAGATTAACAGTCAATGAACAAAAACTCAACCAGCTCCATTCCATTCAAATCCAAAGTAGGCAATTTCAGAGCCATCATCAGAACACTGACTAACCGCAACAAATCTCCTTATTTAGGAACGCACAATCAATCGATTCAAAAATCATGCACGCAACACAAGCAATTACGCCATTCCCTAATCACCATATACCACCCAATTCGGGCAATGACCAAGAGAAACCACCATCCAAAGGAGCCTCGACACGTCAAACTGGAACCGTGCCAGACATTTTGCTCGTCAGTAATACTACTTCACTAAGCACCCTGTTCTACAGCCATCGTCATGGTGGGGACGAGAAACACCTCTGCAAACGCTAATCAGCACAAGAAATGGGCGACGAAGAGACGATTCGAGTTACCGTAGAGGGAAACGAGGCGGTCCAGGCACTTGGTGGCGGACTGCTCGTCGAAGCCGAAGTCGAGAGCCAAGCTGAGCAACCGAGCTTTCTCTACCTCCTCCAACCCCCCGATCCTCCATCGAATCGATTCGATCGATCGATCGACAATGCACGAGTCGGAATGGAATCGAATCGAGCCGTAGCCTCTGTCGAGAGCGGGCGCTCGGAGTGCTGCTCTCTTCGAAAGAAAACCTTGCCCAGCGATGGCGTGATTGATGTTTTCCCTTTCTATTTTTCATACGCTGGAGGATGGGAGAGAGAATGGAGCCAGATATTTTCAATTTTTTTTCTTGAAAATTCAGTTTTCGCATCTGAAGTTTGTTTAAGTTCGATTTCCACCCCTCCCCGTAAGTTCTTTTGGTTTCATTTGACACCCTTGGGCTTATTCGGTGAGAAGACACATGAAAAATTATTAATCAATCGCACCTCTCTTAAAAGTTTGGAAAAGAAAATCATTATTCGAATTCCAAAAAATCACTGACAAATTGTGCATGGTTCCTTTTCTTTATATATATATTTATACGATTTGTTTTCGATGTTTTGCATTAAAGAAAAAGTCACATTACAAGAATTGCAATATTGGTAAAAAAGAAAAAAGTTAGACGGTTAATATGGTTTCGTAATTATCCCGCGTGTGCGAAGTAAGAGCTGCCACATCCATCGAGATCAATAGAGTATTTTAAGAAATTGAAGACCACATTGATAGCGAAAAAAAAAATTTCTTATGAAAAGTTATACGGTTGAAATTTGCCTTTCATCTCATTTGGAGCAAGCCTTTTGGACTTTATTGCTTTCTGGGTTTGGATCATTCTTGACATTGGTAGATAGGGATGTGTGTAAAGGCTCCTTTGCAAAAAAAAAAAAAAACTTGCATCTCGTGCTAAAGTTATAGATCTTCGAGAAGTATCTCAAATTTGTGTATCAAGAAAAAGGAAAAAATTGACAAAATAATACTTTTTCTTAATTAAATTTTTACCTTTATATATATTTATATTTCAATGGAAGGATTTTCAAAAAAATTGGAAAAATAGCATTTCCGACACTACTTTACTGTTTGGCAAAAAAAAATACCACTTTATTGTGCCCAAAATCATGAGCGTGATGGAAATTTAATAAGTCAAAACTCACTTTTCCGAGGCGAGTCCTGCATTCAACGTGGAACGTTGATAAAAAGAGAAAAAAGGTGATTCGTGAAATTTGCTTTGTAAAATCATTATTATGTCATAATTTCCGGACATTAAAGGAAAGTTAAGCACGCGTGATCAAATTTATATTTAATTAAGTTAAGTTGCATTGAATAAGGAAAATTACTAACACATAGGTCTCAAAACTTTACAAAGTGTAAATGAAAGTAGCAATCGATTCAGATATTTTACTAAAAGTACATAAAAGAAATTCACTATTAAACAAATAGAAATTATTTTTGTGGAATTTTACCAAACAAAGGTTCCATAGAGTAGAAAAGTTACGGTCTATTTGGTAATTTACTAACAATAGAAAAAGAAATTTACCATAAACTTAGGTAGATTTTTTTTTTGTGAAATATTACAAATCATATGACTTACAGCACTTACGACGACACATAGAAAATTACGTCTTGTAAAGAAAAATAATGAAATGATATGTATCTGGTAAATTTCTGTGAGGAAAATTAATAAGGAAAATTAAAAATACTAAATAAAAAACCACCATTAATTAGACAGAATCCGATCCCATATTCCCGCCCAATCTTCGTTGTTTTAGATATTCATGCCAATCTTTAGGTGGCTTTGAGTTGTGAAGAATATGGAGGAATTTGTTCTAATCAAAATGGCATGTCATAGCTTTCTTTCTTTTTTTCTTTGCGTGCTTTCTGCTCTCTGTATAGTCGTGGTCTATGCTTAGAGAGCATTTTGTGATTCTTCAAGCGAAGACCATCTGCTTATGTGATTTTACTGCTAAATTTGCTGACTCCTGCACTACAGCCAGTTATGGGCAACCACTTGTGTTGTAGGGTATCATTTCTTGAGAAATCTGTTCCTTTTGAGGTTGAGCTTGATTCTAGCTACGTGGGGATTGGGTCGAGTTGAGCCTGAGCATTTCAAATAAAGGGAAGAGCCAGAGCAAAGCAAACAAAAGATTGCAACAGTTCATTTCAGGGCGTTCTTTTTGTGGTGCTTGTTGCACCAATTCTTCTTTCCGTGTTCGCTTATAATCTTTCTCAAAAAGAGGAAAAAGGGTGGAAGCACAACAAATGCAACAAATAAGAGCACCAATGGAGCATCTACATTCTTCCTTATTTCGGTTCTTTTGTTCTCCTAAACAGAAAAAGAATAGAAATTCGTTTAGTAACGTTAGCTAATTTTTCTATTCCCGGAAATAAAAAGTAGCTAGAGAATAGATTTGAAGCGAAACAAGAAACGAAAAAGTTACCTTTTTATTCTTGGGAACAATTTCTGAAACAAATCTTTTTTTTTCCTTTTCTTTTTTTCTAACTTCTTCTTCCTCCTCTAGCAACTAAGAAAAATTTCACATCACAAAAAAATTTAGGATTGTACCAAACGCTTTTATGTTCTTTTTCGATTCCAAGAATATAAATTTTGCGTAGTTACCAAATGCGTTCTTTAGCTAAGAAACTCGTCCAGGGATAGAAATAAAAAAACTATTTCTGCTCAAAATTGTTCTCAAGAACATAAATGTTTCCAAATGCACCCTAAATATTTTCAAACGTGCATGAAGTTATGTAAAATCGTATAATTGAACGATTGACTTTTCCGAACAAGTAAATGACGTGGTCTTTTTGGGGGCCCTCTTTAGGACTCATCCCCTAATCTTCTGCAACGAAACAACGTCGGTAAACTTAACTGAAGTGACTCTCTCTCTCTCTTGCAAAAGAGCACGAACCTTCTTCGGCATTTCCAATGGCAGAAAATAACGTACACTTGTCGCAAGTGGACCAAGCCAACAAGTTTGACTTGACTAGAGGGTGAGGTCCAAAAGAAGATACGGCAAGGACTAAAACCATTTGCAGAATAGCATCCCGAAAGCGTCTTTCGTTGTTCATCAATCCTTTTAATCACTAACATATATCATGCTAGAAAATTTTGTTTTTTTTATTCTCATTTTAGTAAGATGATGTACTTCACAAAGTAAAGTGCAAATGATATTTAACTTTTAAATAGACTCATGACCTTGAGTTTTTTCCCCTACATCACTAGTTCTCAACTTTTTAGATCTCTAACACATTCAAATTCTTTCCTCAAGAATCTCTCCTAAAACGTCAACACTGCGTATTTTTTCAATGGATAGCTGATATTACCAAAATAGAGATGGAACTCATAGCAAACTTCCATCATTCTATCTATACCAAAGAATTATTTCTCAACCATCTATACCAAGGCATTATTTTTCAAGTTTGGAAATAATTGCTCATCATCTATCATATTTCACAACTGGAAGCACGATTGTTGCAAAATAGAGCTCTTCAATTTGGAAGCCTATTCTGCTAAAAGTTTCTAACAATAATTCCTTAAACTTTGGAATGTAAAGAAACTAGAAAATTTTGGTGGGGCCAAGACTTGTTAATGAAAATGAAATTTTTTGTAAATACGGAAAAGCATCAACAATGAAACTGGTGTTTGGCCATAACGCGGGTAGTTTAGCGTGTGCCTTTGGGGATAATGAGTAAGTGGTACAGAATGATGAGACTCAATGTTTAGTCATTTTGGTATCGAGACAGGCATGCTTGACTTACTTTTCCAAGTCTTCATTGAAATTGACATGTCAAGAAAATTGATGGAAAATAATAGATTTGAGTGTCGGTATTTGTGAACCACTAGTTATTCAGGTCCATTCGTGAGTCTTCCCATCTTGCTCAAGTCTTTTAGTCCACGCAAGTCCATTGAACGTTCAATCAGGGAGGTTGAGTCTAGGAGGTATTGCGGCATGTCCAGGTGTAAACACTTGGTGGGATTCACGGTTTTCACGCCTTGTTTAACGTCCTGACGGCCAGACGTCCCTCCATAACTCAGGTGTTACTCTCTGTTTCTCTTTCTTGGTTGAACGTTGAGAGAGAAACTCCCCAAGTTCCCACCTTATGTTTTTCTTCACGGTTGAGCGGGAATACTCTCTCAGTGTTTTACATTTAAGGGACTCTGAGGTCCAAGCGTGACGAGCCTTTTAACGTCCTGCTTGGGATGGAGTATCAAAACTGGCATGCTTGACTTACTTTTCCAAGTCTTTATTGAAATTGACATGTCAAGCAAATTGGTGGAAAATGGTGGATTTGAGTGTCGGTATTCGTGAACCACTAGTTATTCAGGTCCATTCTTGAGTCTTCCCATCTTGCTCAAGTCTTTTAGTCGACGCAAGTCCATTGATTGCTACCATTCTTAGGGTAGAGCTAACTGTCAATGAGAGACCATGAATTAGCAAACACGCCGAGAGAGAGAGAGAGAGAGAGAGGTAGTTTACCTTTTCGTCCCTCCATGTTTCTAATTTCTAAACGAAAATTTATTATATAAAGATCTACAAATTTAACTGTCTTTTGTATTAGAGATTTTTCCTTTTCCTTTTTGATTGATTACGGATATTTGGTACAAGATTATATGAATATTAGGTTCTATTTGTTTCGCGGAAAATGAATGATTTGAAAAAAATTTCCTTAAAAATGATCTCTTGTATCACTTGAAATAATTAGCTAATAAAAATGTTTTCATTATTGTCAACAAATAATATCAAAATATTTTCGTGGACGATGAAAAAAATTTCGTTCATTCATTTTTTTTAGCGATATAAGCAATCATATATTAGGAAACTGTTTTCTAAATTATATATTTTTCACGAAACAAATAGAACCTCAATAATCGACGCTTGATAAAGGCAGAAATAAAGTGTATGCATGTGATTTCAAATAGATACTTACATTGAACCACCGATCAAAGGCAATGATTGTTGATTGGACCAAATATGGAAAAGCTCTTAGACGATTCGAGTGCATGTGAGCCCATTGCATTTAAGCCCTCAATATTGGTGGTGCCACACGAGACCCACACGATCTAAGAGTCGGGATGCATTGGGCTCACACGCACTCAAGAATGTCTCACAATATATGGTCACCGCCCATTTCAACTTTTGTCAATTCTACATGGGAGTGATTATATAACTTCCAAAACAACAATCGAAGACATAACTAACAGAATTTTCCTCCAACGAGGAAATTGCATGCACCTAGAGGGCGAGGTCCATCGGGCAATAAATAGATGATGCGACATTAGTTTGGCTATTGAAAATGGGATTAGACAGACGGATCTGCGAAAATGAGGAGTTGGAGATAATTAGGTTTGTTTATACATTAGGCTCAAAAGAATTAAGACTAAGGTCCAAAGATCAAGGTAAGGATTTGGTAACGTGTGAGCTTATATTCTAAGAGGAAGACGCTCCTTCCATGAAGTTCCCTACATAATTTGAACACTCTTGATGGATTCAACATCTTAGGTGTGAACCCGAAGAATCTGTCTTTAAATATCTTCAGAAATGAACGATTGACTTTCTGAACAAGTAAATGATGTGGGCTTTTTGGGGGCCCTCTTTAGGGCTCATCCCCTAATCTTCCGCAATGAAACGACGTGGGTAAACTTAACTGAAGTGACTCTCCTCTCTCTCTCTCTCTCTCTCTCTCTCTCTCGCAGGAGAGTACGAACCTTCTTCAGCATTTCCAAGGGGAGAAATTAAGGTACACGTTATTCGGAGAGGACCAAGGCAACAAACTTGACTTGACTAGAGGGTTCATGTGGCCCCAAGAGGATAGGTTGATCGAATGGAAAACGGAGCTCGGAATGTCCGAGAACTCAATTGGCGATCGCCCCACCCCCTACCAAAAACAGCACAAAAATTAACAGCAGTGTGGCCATGTCGACCCAAAAGAACATCAAAGAGAAATCCGAGAGACAATGAAATCCGCCATTAAAAATCAGAGGAGTGAAGTGGCTGCAGCACCTGTTATGGCCGGTGGGGTTTTGAAAACTGTTCGGAGAGAGACCGCGAGAATGCGAGGGGAAGGAGGGAGGGAGGGAGGGAGGGAGGGAGAGCGAGGAGACCGAGAGAGCTTCTTTTTTTTTGGCTCCACCTCCACCCCAGAAAAAGAATCTTCGGAATCAGTCCCTTGGGTTCCTCTTATTTGTTGTCCAGCCCCTCCAATCGGGGAACTCGAACTTTATATTCGGTCCCTATTATCAACATGGGTCCCATGACATGAGTCCCTTTTTTTTTTTGACTCTTACTTGTTAAAATAGATAGGTCCTTTTTTTTTTGTTTGGTTCTATCCTATCCTATATCTATTTTAAAGGAGAAAGAGTATAATTATAGAACAATAACATTACCACGTATGCTATCATATCAATATGAGTTATTTAGAGTCAATAAGCAAACTGAAAAGTTTGATGTATGACATATTTACGTAGTATTGCTGGACATTTAGATTTTATTAAAACACCTAAGAGAAACCGTGCAAACCCCATACAAAGCTCCACTGCGAAAAACAAATTTCAGTACAATTATTATATATTGCGATTGATTTTCGCCATCGCCTTATTTATAAATTAAATTTAAACAATATTTTCATGATAAATAATGGGCTCTCGTCTCACAATGCAACTAAACAAGCAACGAGGTGGAAGACTTTGACTTGCTTTCAATTGCGAGAATCTTTTTTCCGCCTTATCCCTTTCTTGGCAACTAAAAAAGCAACATTACCAAACAAACCGATTTGCTTTCTTCATTCCCCTATACTTCACCATAACTTTGATACCTGAATATGTAAGATGAAAATTTGTATGTGCAAATTAAGCACACGATATCAGTCTAATTCCTTATGCCCGTAAGTGTATGGAAGAGGTTTGGCTAAATTGACCCTAATTGATGTCGTCGTCAGGACGTGGAGCTAATTGATATCGTGAGAAAGATCATGTTTGGAAAACTGAAAATGATAGGACCCATATAAGTTTCACATGAGTCCCACTAGATTTAGCCGTTTGTAACGAGTAGAGAACGAATGGCGTGTCACTCAATCATTGATCAAAGCAATAGGCAAGTGAAGAAAAAGCTCATGCAGCTGTGGCACCACATAAAGTGGGCTCCATGTGCTAATTCAAGTATGAATTGCATATAGACATGGTTCAGACTCATTAAATTATATATTGAATTAAATTTTGTTACTTTAAATTCATAACAAACTATTTTTTAAAATTTGAGCTAATTCACTAAATATGAGTTTTTTTTGTCGGTACACTAAATATGAGTTAAAAAGTAGATTTTTGACCATTTCAACGCCTCCAATGGTGAGAGGCTTTCATTTCTACGGGAAGGGAAAGCAAAATGTTGTCCATCTTCACTTCGATTTGCGCGGCCATGTGATCCCATTACAAAGAGAACTAACAAAAGGTGAGGCTTAGCCGGTTAAAGAGGTAAATTTCCTTATCAAAGACGCGCAAATCCACAGTAGGATTGTGTGTATACGAAGCACATCCAGCTCATCTTCTGAGGCACGAGAAGAAGTAATTCCCAATATGCACACCTTGCAAAAGTTGCCAAGTAAAGTCTACAGGGGGGGGTGGTCTTGCCAATTTCGAGGAAGGGATTTTTTTGGTGGTCTTGGTCAAAAAGTTCAGAATCAAAAGAAGTACGATTGCCTTGTCTAAGAAACGCCATCCACCACCACAAGATTTGCGCGTCTCCTTTGGGGCAAGAGAAGAAGTAAAGCTCTATTTAAAGTCCCAAGTGCTTGTGCTTGTGCTTGAAGAGGAGAAACGCCAATCACCACAAATCACTGAGAGATCGTTTTTGTTCTGAGATATATCTGGTTTTGATAGCTCCGGGCTGAGGCGTGAAGGTGATATCCTTGGATTGCACTGCCTTTCGGGACTCAGACACAACTTGATCTGCTTCAAGGCAACTTCTTCTCAAACACTGAAACCCATCGCAGTAATTTCATCTCTGCATCGCTCCTCGAGGTAAGCCCGACCTTCATTCTCCAGTCTATTACCATTGATAGGACAAAAATACATTTGATTATTTCTCATCGCACAACACCTAACATCCTTTAAGGCATTCAGAATATTACATGTGATATTCCCTTGACTTTTTCAAAATCATCACCACATATATTGCTATTTTTTCTTACTACAATCTTCTCGTTTAAACTAATCGGTTATGAATGGTTAGACTGGTTGAATCTGGTGGAATCGCTTGCTAGCCCTTGTCCCGATGTTGTTTTCAAAACATTAATGGTTGATTGAACTCCCTTATGACAAAAAGCCTGTTCGACTAAAATTATGAAAGTTCTGATTTTGGGTCCATGGGCCCTATACGTACCCGAATTCTCCAAAATTACTTAAACCTAAAACATCCAAAATACTCGGGTTTTGCATAAGTTCTTTTTTTTTCTTGAAAATAGTTAAAAAAAAACCAGATTTTTCCAAATATCGATCATGCTGGTCTATTCTCTTCAATAATCGCACAAAACCTTTCAAAGGTTGCGGATTAGAATTGTCAACAACAAAAATTTATCCAAACGGATCTGATCGACTAGAGAATTTTTGGATATCCATAAAAACATTGTCCGTTATATTGGCAATTTTCGTAATTTCTGGAAAATGACAGAAAATTCAGATGTTTTTCCGGAAATTATGAAAAATTCACAATTGTACTGTTTTTTGTTTTTTGCGCCGGTTACAATGGACAACTTGAAAGTGAGCAAAGCTGCTGGTTTCAATGCATTTACACATTTAATATGTGGACAATTTTTAGGTGAACTTTATTTTTGCGGGTTGAATTAGAAAAACTCGTCATAAAGTGTGGTTTTCACGCGATTTTACTGCTTACAGCAAAGACGTAACTTTTATGTGTATATATAGTGTGGAAAGTTACCGACCTACGACGGATTAGACAATATGATTTATGCATGTTTAGGGCCGGGAGGAGAATGTAGAATTTTACAGGAAGTAAGAACGTCTTTGATAATGATATAATGGAAGATTCACAAGCCGATTAGAGCCACATTTAACTGTTTAACAAAATGGTTTTTGAAGTGTGGATATGAACAGAAGTGGTCATTCCGTACTCTGGTCCACATTGTGTGGCTTGACTTTGGTTTGCCATATGAAAACAACTTCATTGCTACCAGTCAATCAGCAATAGAGGGATACCTGTCCGTCAATAATAATTCGAGACTTATCGTCTACTACGGTCTCTCTCTCTTTTCTCACTTTATCTTTCGCATTCGGCCTCTCTCTTGTAGAAACCATTTGAGACTATCGTCTACTGATTAGTCTTCACTCGCTTTCTCTGTTCTTTTCCCTCTTGAAAGTTCTCGCCCAGGCTTGTTCAGGGTCTCCTCTTCCCGATCTCGCGCCTCTCGTCGCATCTCAGCTCGCAGAAGGTAATCACTTTTTCATCCCTTATTACCGTGTCGTTTCTGTTGATTCTGTCGCTTTGTTATCGGAATAATCGGCTGAGCTAAGTGTGTTTCCGGGCCCTTTTTGCCTATTGGGGATGTGGGGGTGGCTGCTGAATAGCAGAGGAGGGTCTTCTATTCTCTCTTTTGGAGCCGCTGTTGCCTGTTAACGAGGTATGTCCCCAGCTCAGATTTTACTTCGGTGCAAAAAGAAAGCCCTTTGTTTTTTACTTTAGATGTGGCCAATCCTATGATGGCCTCGCTGTCTAATTGTTAGTTGCATCGTAATTCAGTATTTGATCTTTTGTTGAACTAGAACGAGTAGGTCTGCAAGCGCGCTAGACGCTATTGCGTGCAAAATTGCCACATTTCCCTTGAATCCAGAGACCATTTTTTTTATGCGTTGTGAGGTTTCTCTGTGTTTGAAGGTCCTAGATTAATTTATAGAAAAATAAATCAGAAAAATAAAAGTAGGCTGGTTCGAGGGTCAACTAGTTTAGTTCTCAGTTACAAACACGGAGAACCGATTATTATGGAATAAGTTCCTAATTCTTAGGTTAGAACTTACTCATCCTGAAACCAATCATCCTACAAGTAAGTTTTCTCTTAAGGAGATTTCATTCAACAATTTTAACTCCCTATAGAACATTCCAAATAAGTAATATTCCGTTTTCCTTGAATTGTTGGACCATTAGTCCTAGAAAGTATATTCCCCTTCATCTCTAACTCGTTATCTCCCTTCTTTAGCCAAAAAAGAAAAGAAAAGAAAAGGCTCATTTTCTCCCTTCAAAGCTTTAAAAATTGACCGAGTCTTTACATGAAAGAAAGGAAAAGTAAATGAGAAAGTACAGGGAAAGTTTGAGCATTTTAACTATATTGCTACTGTTTACCTGCTCTCAACTCACGATAGTTTCAATCATTACAATATAAAACATACCAAAATCCATAGTATGATACTTCTTAAGATCTTTTACATAATATCCAATAGTAAGAAAAAAACCTAGTTGATCTTATGACACACACATGAAAACAATCAAATGAATTGAGCCATACGCGCATATTAGGAGATTCACCTAGCTTTACATCACTCATTTCTTACACCTCTTTTGTTACAAACAATAAATTCATTCTTCCAAATGTGATTAATCAATTTTAACCTGACTTATCACGAATTTAGCTAATAATCCTGTTCTACTTCCATTTAATTGGATAAAAAATCTTTGCGGTGATATTCTCAAGGTGGGCCTTACAGCAAAAATGGGGACAAGCACTCAACGCCATTGTTTCAAACCTTGGTCGTCTCTGATTTTCTTATCTTCTTCTCCTTCTTCCATCGAATTAGTACCTAATTTCTAATCATTCAGACTAACATGGAGAAAGGGCAAAGTCAGAGCAAGGCAAACAAAGAGATGCCCCGTTTCATATCAGGTTGTTCCTTTGCGGTGCTTCTTGCGTCTCTCGTGCTTGTATTCAATAATCTCAATAAGAAGAAAAAGAGTGCATAACATACAATATATCAATCAACTTTTTAGATTTGAAAATTTGAGATGAAAGGCTCGGTGATAACATACCAATTCAAAATAAATTCTTTTTACATGGAATTGTAGCATGTGATGCCGACGTGAAAAAATAAGAGAGAAATGATAATAACTATTTGTTCATCTCTACCTTGCATTTCGAACTTCATTAAAAATATGACAATTTTAAATAAAATTAAAGTATGAAATCGCCGAATTTGAACCAAAACATAAAAGAAGTGAAGCAACCAACCCGATACGAATAGAGAAGCAACATTCACACAAAAAGAGAAAAGAACATGAGAGAGAGAGAGAGAGAGAGAACAAAGACGGTCTAAGATTGATTGAAGTTAAGCAAGAGGGAGAGTACTGTGTTCCGAGCCATTGGAAGAGAGAGGAACGTATCGCTTGGAGAAATAAGGCCGAGAGACTTACACTTTTAGCAATTCTTTTTTTCTTCGGAAAAAAGAAATTATGTGAAACTTTCGTCAAGCGGTCCTTAAAGACTGCAAAAATTCAGAGACTTTGGACATTCTTTTTTATCATTGTTTTTGTAAGCGATCATATTACTAAAGATACAACTGACAATTCATGTTGTGTCATATTAATTGTGTCATGTCAAGTTACGATATAACACTAATATGGCAAAACCCAAACAAGATGTGTTCAATAAACTCGTTGAACTACCACAATATGAACACGACACTTTTACTAAAGCAGGTTAGACGACGTGACATGACAAATGCAATTATTAAACGTGTCACCATACGAAATGTCAACACAACACCATGCAATATGCTAACCTGTATACATGCAAAAAGATGCAACACATAGCATTACATCTAAAGCAAAGAGTAAAATTGCTTCCCGTGATATTCTAATTACAAGTGAGACACAACCTTTTGTATTAATGTTAATCCTATTTAAGAGCCATAAAATTTTATCACCCAAAAAGCCCCAAATTTGGAACATACTAAAGCCATCAGTTTCAAAATCTAAAAATTAAGAACAAAAAAACTAGACCATGAAAGAAGAGAGGGAAAGTTAAAATTCCTGGAAATATGTTTGGATACATGTTAGGTGGAAATTATGTAAATGGAACTTAATTTCATTGATAGACTTAATTATCCTTCAATCTATTCATCCTTAAAAAGGAAGTAAGGCCAATTTTGGAAGAAAAGTGCAATTTTTGCATTTCCTCTCATTTCTATGCACTTTTAGAAAGAAATGAAGTGGGGGCTCAAAAGGAAGTATTTCCCTTTCATTTAGAATCATTTTCATCGACTACCTTCATAATTCAAACAGCTGGGCAATTGAAATTTTTTCCTCCATTAATATTTTAGCTTTAGTTAATTTTACATATGAGCGATCCCTAAAACTTGAAACCCGCCAAATTAAAAACGTGATTGATGGAAATTTCCTCCAATTAGGAAAGTGCACACATCCAGAGGATGAGTTTTTTCGGGCAACAATTACATGACACTGCATTAGTTTGGCCAATGGGAATGGGATTAGACAGAAGGGGTTGTGAAAATGAGGTGGTGGAGATAGTTAGGGTTGTTTATATATTTGGCTAAAAATAATAAGAGTAAGGTCGAAGATCATGATAAGGATTAAGCATCATGTGAGCTTATATTCAAAGGAAGATGCTTCCATGGAGTTTCGTGCATAATTTCAATATCTTAGGTGTGAACTGAAAGAATCCATCTTTAAATATCATAGACTTGCATAGAAGTGATGTAGTTGTTCAAATGTGTTTTAAGGAAGTCGGTAAATTACGCTTCAATCTGTTTAATTTCAAATATGTGTTTCTGAAGAAGTAAATGATATGAGCTTTTTGGGGGCCTCTTCAGGGCCACCTAATCTTCCTCAGTGAAACGACGTCGGCTAACTCAACTGAAGGCCGTGTCGTTATTGTTAGAAATATTAAAATTGTTTTGTCTTTAATACAAACTTGGTCTTCAAGTTTGACAAACTTGGTCTTCAAGATGAAACAAACTTGGTCCTCAAGTTTGACCAACTTGGTATTCAAGAAAATTTCCTTAGGAGTAGTATAAATAGGTTATTCCCTCCCTATTTGTGTAAGTGTGTATGAAAAGCCATAGAAAGAGAGAGTTGAGAGTTGTAAGAAAAAAGCTTATAGAACTAAGCTTGTATTCCTCTCGTGAAAAGCCCGTGCAAAAGGCATTTTGAATATTATTCTCTCTCGTTTGTGTATCTCAGTGTGCTTCTCACCAAAAACATCAAAGTTTGTCCATATCCTTTTGGTTCCTATAGTTATTACCTTTCTCAAGAACACAAACCTTCTTCAAGCATTGCCTAGGGGAGAAATGGACGTCCACGTTATCCGGAGTGGACCAAGCCAACAAGCATTTGCAGAAAAAACATCTTTCGTTTCAACTTTCCCCTCTCAGATCACCATGGACAAAGAGCAAAGTCATGGAAATGGAAAGAGAAAGAGAGCAGGGGAAAAGAGTATAGAGGGAGCATCCACTTCTTCGTTCGTCTCTCCGGTACCCACAGATGTAGGGAGCGGTCAATATGATGTGTTCTTGAGCTTTAGAGGCTCGGATACCCGCAAGGCATTCACTGATCACCTCTACCATAGTTTGATCGAGGCAGGGATTGTACCGATTTGCGTGTTCAAGGATGATAACAGCATACCAATCGGTGAGGAATTTGGTTCGAAGATTCTCGATGCCATCACACGATCTAAGATTTCGATCCCCGTCATCTCTGAAAATTATGCTTCGAGCAAATGGTGCCTCCGCGAGCTCATTCATATCATGGACCGCAAGAAGAGCACATCACACATAGTGTTGCCCATTTTTTACAAAGTGAACCCATCAAATGTGCGGTATCTAAAAGGAAGTTTTGGGGAGGCATTCCATTCGCGTAAAAAGCATTTTGATGAGAAGGATATCCACGAAGGGCGCGAGCACTTAGAGAAGTGAGTGACTTACATGGATGGGAATCCGAGAAAGTTGCTAACGGTACTTTGCTTCGCTGAACTTTTCCTTTTTGATAAGTGAGTTTTCTTGTTCACGCGAAACGGATGAATCACAATGGTTTCCAACGAATCAAAATCAAAGAAATGACAACCCTCCCGTCAATAGTATCATTCACCAAACAATACGCTTAGAAAGGACTCGAATGCTCGCTCTCCGAAGCTTTATCACCCCTGCATACAATAGACCTCCTCATGCCAATGAAAGTCGGCTCGGTTGAAACTGATCGGGCACTTTCACATTTACCATGTCTAGGTTTGATTTCCACTATCAGTAAACCCCATTGGTAGAGATCCGTAAATCAACTATAAGTCCTCAATTTAGACATGTGTGTCGCCCTAGCCTTAGAGTGGAGTAACCTCCTTTTCTCCTAAACTTTTTTAATTAAAAAATCGATCTCCTATCATTCAACTAGCAGCAATCTTAAGCCTTATAACAGATATTATACTTCTAAAGACTCTTAACGAGCCAGGTGCACCATCTTATTCTATTTCAACAACATCCATCTAACGAAAGAGAAAAAAATGAAACGGCCACTAGCTATCATCCCTCATTGTTATTTGTGAAACCAAAATATCTTGCATGTTAATTGGCCCCATCCATTCTTCACATGTATGTCGGTGTCTTTTGATGAGATTAAGTATAATTA